AAAATTTAGTAAAATCAGTCTCTTCATCTGATTTTCTGTCCAGGTTGGTTTGTCCTTATTGATTGTTCAACGTGCGTATGCAGGCAATACTATGTGCAGGTCTGTATCCTAATGTAGCCATGATTGAGGGAGGCAGTACTGAGGGTCGTCCTGTTTGGTACGATGGAAAAAGAGAAGTTCACATACACCCTTCTTCTATTAATGGTAACCAGAAAGCTTTTCAGTATCCATTTCTCGTCTTTCTTGAAAAGGTATGTACCCTTGTTGACTATTTCTTATTTTTCTAACGATGCAATTGTGCAAGTCTATACTTTGGAAGTTAACAAGATATTGGTGCTAAACCCTCACCCTGGAAAAATGAATGAAGCAAACATTTTTGGGTGCTATATTATTGTGGTAGTCCCTACCTTATTGGAGCCTTAAAAAAAAGAAGACAAAACTGTCATTCTTCTGATCCACTTAGTCATTTTCCATTTTAGCAAAACCATTACTATGCATTATTGATCTCAAAGTTTGTCAACTATCATCTTGATACATTTGCGTGATGATTCTTTTCTCAAGGTCCGTTATGTGCTCAGGGTTTATTGGCTAGTTGAATGTTAGAGACTATGTGCTGATCAAATCGCTAGTCCCTTTGAGGCTACTGTGGTTGTGTTGCCGTTAGTTTGATCATTTTGGAAACTAAATTTGAATAAATAAATGTGTCCTTCTCTAAGAGCTTAAGTTGTTAGATGAGGTAGTTCAACATGATATTGTACCCTATGTTTTCAAAATCAGACTGAAGTGGCCAGTTCAACTGGGCTTACTAGGAACTGGTCCGGTCATCACCTGAAACCGTCAAAGTTCAAACCAGTCAAAAAAAGGTTCGACCTTAAACCTGTTGACCCAGCACCAATTTTTCTGGGTGGAATTTCTTGAATACAAAAAGTAATTTATCAAAGACTTGAGGGGTATAGCTGTAAAAATCAATAAATGCTTGCCTTCAGCGAAGGCCCACGAAGTAAACGCGTCAATCCGCTCATTGGCACATTATTTAATACACAACTTCCTCCACATTTTCCTTCGTGAAAACTGATGTGGGATCTAGAAACTGATTAGAAGAAAGAAGTCGTTCAAAAATGGAGAAAATAATATTAGGTCACTTTTTGGTCAACAGTGAAAAATAATGTGACATTGTAAGTAAAATATTTTTATTTGAAAAAATGGTTTTGGAAGAAAACCTTTACAAAATAATTTATTCTTGAATTTAATTTCAGTTTATTTTATCTTTCTCATTTATTTTATTCTAAACACACAATGAATTGCTAAAATATTTAAGCGATCTATTGAAGCTTTTGTCTATAAATATTAACTCATTTTGTCTTGATATTGTCATTTTGGAAACAGTCATAAGAAAACTAAAACAATCAAGTTTAATGAATATTTTTGTCTATATATTTCACTTAATCTGAAAAATTACTTACTATGGTCAATTTTTATAGTATAAATATATATTTAGTTATTTATTGGTTCGAATCTGGTTCAATCATGTCGGTCCCATTAACCCCTCAAATTTTCCCTTTTTCGGGCCGATGATCATGCTAGTTTTGAAGACAAATTGTAGGAAGATAGTGATCTTGATTACAAATATCATGGACACACATTTATAGATAATTATCAATGTGTTAGGCCTTTGACAAAAAATGAATTTGGCCTGCACATGAGGTGGCTCCTTGAAGAATAAAATAAATTAACGCATCATCTCTCTAATAACTTAAGCTTTTACATTAGTAACGGATCGAATCTTATTGATTTACTATTTCTTGGTTATGTTTTTGTTCAATAATTGTTTGAGCTGAAATGCAAAGTGTAGTCTTAGGTGCGTCTTCGTAAGATATAACATTTTTATTTTCTGATGGGAATTTTTTTCTTAATATTATCTGGAATTCTTTCTTATTCATCGCAATTCCAGGTTGAGACAACTAAAGTATTTTTACGAGACACTACCGTCGTTTCCCCCTACTCTATTTTGTTGTTTGGTGGACCAATAAATGTTCAGCATCAGGTATCTTTCGCTTTAAATTCAATGGAGTAAATATGATTTATCAACAGATGTTCACCATCACAATCTTTGCCTTTTTGTTTATTATCAAAATATTTGCTTTAAAAAATTAGTCTTTAACTTACTTTCTTTAGTATAAAAAGTAACTTTTGAGAATCATGTTTTGCAATATAAGTAACTTTTAAATGATTTGACTTACTTTTGAGAACAACAAATCATGCTCTATGTATGGCTGCACTAGTTTAACTCATTGATCAGTTGGTGGAATGTCAGAAACATTTCTGCTTTTGATTCTGCAGACGGGACTAATTACTGTAGATGGTTGGCTAAAAATGGCAGCACCGGCACAAACTGCTGTCCTCTTTAAAGAACTTCGATTGACTCTTCATTCTATTCTGAAGGAGCTCATTCGTAATCCACAGGTATCCTATTCGTTTTTGCTGACGTAATAATTTTTTCGTATTTACTCTTGTTCTATTCTCTCTTAAATAATGGTTTGTCTGATAACTCGAATTGAAACTATTAGTATTTATCTTTAATCATGGACATTGGCTTTATAGACTTCCCTGATAATGAATATATTGTATATGGGTCGCAGCTTTCAGCTACACTTTTGAAAGTTGCACATACTCTGTATTTTGTAGTTAACTATATCAATGTTTTTCTACTTTTTTTTTCTTAAAAAAACTTTTTAGAAGCCTTCTGACCTTCATGATCTAGGACTTCTGTATTGGTTATCCTTTTTCTAGAATATTTTTATTATATATTGAATATGAGTTTTCTTCATCTTGTTCCCTCTTGTGGCGCTACAGAAATCAGATGTAGTTGATAATGAAGTTATCCAATCTATAATTCAATTATTCCTAGAAGAAGATAAACCAACCAGGTGAATTGTTCAATCCTCCCCCGGTGCAAATCCAAGCTGACTTTTCCTGAGATTGTTAGACCAAGCGCATAGGGTATGCATTTCCTCTTGTATTTTCATTGTTATGATGTGGTTTTATTTGGACGCGTTAAAGATATTATTATTTTTATAGTATACAAGTCTTTGGTAGCTAAGCTGCATTTAGTGGTCACTTGATTTGCAGACTTAAAAGTTAGAACTACTTGGTCCGCCCAAATGTACCCTATTCTTGCAGTAGATTGGCATGTTTTGTAAGGTGGAATCGACTGCACAGACAATTTCAAAGAAGAAAAAGTAGAAGTTTGCTTATAGTATTATCTAGTTTGGTACTAAATGCCAAGCACAAGTATCTGTATGTCCTATAGGCACTTTAATGTGCTACAGATGGTCATGGCGGCTTCCGGGAAGCATGCTTTTGTTCTGCACTTGAAAGAAGGTATACAGAGGACACTGGGAGAAAGAATAATGTCCGGTAATTTACGAATAATTCGAGCAATTAAATTGAGCTCTAATTTATATTCTACACATAAGTTCTTGACCCGGTTTCTTTTTAAATGAACAATCTACTGGATGTGTCCTTTCTTAACATATTTGATCAACTATGTGCAGAATATTTATAAAATGTTCAACCTGAGTTGGCTGAACTTTTCACAATATTTTTCTTCGTTCAAGTAGTATATAATCCTTAATACCAAATAATAAAATATGTTGGTCTGTAGCACTAAACATGACAATATAAGAGATTTTAGCTTATTTTTCTTCTTTATAATATAATTTGGTGTTACTTACCTCTTGCATTATTTATAGAAGTGATATTTAAGAAACTTAGAGCTTGTTTGGGAGAGATTTTTGGGGGAATAATTAATTTTGAATAGTGATATGATGAGAAATGTGTGGTTGAAAAAGAAGAAAAAAATATTGATATGATGGAAAATATTATTTTATTGAAGAATGTGTGGTTGAAAATGAGAATTGATTTACTGTAGAAGAATTTAATCGCTCCCAAACAAGGCCTAGATGTATTTTAATTGGTTGGTCA